TGCCTACCAGCACAGGTGACTCTCTCAGCTATGTCCCAGCCCACTCCTGTTGGAGGCGATGGTACATTTTCATGCCACTGCACACGTTCTTACACACACACATTGCTACACAAACACGTTCATGCACATGTGCACACTTGCACATACACATGTACTTGGCCCTGCCCCAGTTTGCCTTTCAGAGGCCTCCCAACAGGGATGGGTTTACATCCCGATGCTGCTGTCCTGCCTGTGTGCCTGGTGAACATTCCTTAAGGTAATCTGAGTGTTTACAGATATGATGTGGCAACCCATGGGCCTGTACACACACACACACACGTCCTTGCACTGTCTTCTGAAAAGGACTAAATACAAGGACACATCTGAGTCCCAGATCTTGGTTTCTCCACTCCTAATAATAGGAACTAGGATCTGGGCATGAGCCTGTAATCCTAGCTACTCAGGAGGTTAATCTCCATTTAACCACCCAAAAGCCAGAAGCCCAAAAGCCAGAAGTTGAGGTATGGCTGAAGTGGTAGAGTACTAGCCCTGAGCAGAAAAGCTAGGGTACAGAGCTCAGGCCCTGAGTTCAAGCCTCACTATCAGCGCACGCGCGCACACACACACACACACACACACACACACACACACACACACACACACGAAAAGGAACTGGGACTCCTTGGGGGAGTGGCTGAGACCGAGAAGATGGATATGCTTAAGCACACATACATGCTTGCGGAGGTTACTCATCTGTGATGGACAAATGGCACAAGTGAGGACAGGAGACAGATTCCCAAGTGCAGAGGAACTATGCAGACACTGCGCTGGGGCAGAGGAACAAAACCCCGCATGAGAGAACAGTATGAAAGGGAATCATTCACACTTCGAGTGAACACATTTAACCACCTCCCCTGACCAGGCAACGGGGGTCAGCACCATGTTGATACCACCTGCAGGGCCTCACTCCCATTCCAAAACCCGTTTCCTGAGACACCGAGGAAGAAAACGAGCTGATTTCCAAAGGAGGAAATTGATATTCTACAAAATGCTTGGGCAATATTCATCCAAGTGGCCAAAATAAAAAATGTCTGAGGACACCCAGACAAGAGATGCCTGAATGTCAGGAGGGGCCTTGGACAAGTCCAGATAAGAATGCAGGAGAGACCTAAGAACATCTGAATGGAGTGTGGTCTTTAGGCAGCACGGATACAAACAGGCATCATCAATTAGTTCACTACGATGACAAATGAATCTCACTAAATCAGACATAAGCATGAGGGACATGGGAAGGAGCTTCATCTCCAACCCATTTTGCTTTGGTTACTTGGGAGGTAGTGTCTCACTTTATGCCCTGCCCAGCCTTCCCCTACTTACATTTCCCAGTTGGGACACACGTCACTGTCACAATACCTGGACATTTGTTGAAATGGTCTTGTTAACTTTTTAATTCCAGCCCCTGCCCCGCCTCCCCCAGCTTCAAACCTCCACTCCAATCTCTGCCTCCCAAGTAGTTAGGATTACAGGTTTGAGTAACCTTACTTTTTTTTGTTAATCTAAATACATTTAATTAGAGAAAGGACCTTCAGCAACAGAGGCGGGTGCTGCCCCACCTCTGAAAGCTGATCTTCAGTCAGGAAGCCCAGTGAGGTCCAGGATGAGAGGTTCCATGGGGGAAGGGGACTTGGGGACTTGGCCAAGGCCTGGTGCTGGTCAGTAAAGGGTGAGGCTAGGGAAAGAGGGATGGCAGTTACCCACTGCCCACATTCACCTGCCCTGGCCTCGGCAGCTACCCAGGGCCAGTGGAGGTGCTCACAGTGAGTTCAGTGCGGGGACTCACAGTGAATCCTGGGAGTCTCCAGTGGGGCTGTCCCACGCCCTCCACACCCCAACAGAGCCTTGGACGCTCCGGCCGGTCGTGGCAGGCACTGCCGAGGGCATGGAGGGGGCTCTCGCCACTGGGAGCCGAGATGGGGAAGGGAGAGCGATGGTTGGGCTGGAGTCACACTCTGGGAGGAGTCTCTGGTTAAGCAAGCAAAGCTACTGTCTAGGAACTCACACCCAACCCTGCACGGCAGTCATGACCAGCCAGCCCAAACCTCCCGGGGGTGACTAAACCTGCCTACCCCAAACTGAATGAGGTTGTGTGGGGCTAAGAACCAGGGAACTCCCTCTCACTCCTGCCCAGTGTTTCCGTCCCTTGTCCTCCCCTCACAGGGCGGGGCTTCCTGCTGCCCGGGCGGGTGCTGGCAGGGGCGGGCAGAGGCTTGGCCACCAAGCAGGAGTGGTGAGGAGTGGCCCCTCACACCACTCTTCCCCTTCCTGAGAATGGTGGGTTGGCACAGGGCTGTCCTTCCCAGGAAAGTATCTCTCTGACGGCCACCGCTCAGCCCTTTCCCAGCTCCCGGGTGGCACGGCCCTGGGCCCTGCGGGGCGGGCAGTGCTCACGCAGAGAAGCCACAGGGCTTCCGCTCCGCAGGCCTTGGCCTGCGTGTACCCCCGGGGCAGGAACTTTCTCCTGCCTGGGCAGGCAGGGTTCTAGGCCCGGGACGTTTGGCCTCAACACACCTCCTGCCACCCTGGCCGGCCGGTGTGCTGTCAGCCAGCCTTGGCTGTGTGGCATGTCAGCACACAGCATCCTGCCTTCAGCACATCTGTAGCCTTTCCCACCTCTCGTGCCCAACCCACTTCCTCCCCCCTGGAGGCAGCCTAGGTACTGTCCATGAACCCCCCCCCCACCTGGAACCTGGGAATCTCCACTCAGGAGACGGCCGAGTCCTGCCAGGGTCCTTAGGTCCTTTCCAACCACCCATGCCCACCTCCCAGCTGACCACCGCACACGCGCGCACGTCTCAAGAGGCTGACTCGTGGAGCACGGCACACCCTCCCGTGACAGGCTGGCTCTGCCCCAGCCGCCAGGGCCTCCCTTGGGAGGCTCTCGGGCCCCAGAGGACCTGTCCTCTCTGGTCATCCTTCCTCACACGTCCAGTCGAAGGTGGGTGGCGCAGCGCCTGCTATGACCGGCACCACTGCTGTTACTATTATTAATTTGGGGAGGTGGCCTGGGCATCAGGGTGGGAGCAGCCCCCAGACCTGCCCCGTGGTCCTCACGAGCACCAGAGGCTGCCTGCAGAGGCCTGGCCTCCTCCCCTCACGCACCTGTGGCCTCACCCGCTGCCTTCCCCACGCACAGCAGAGCTGCCCCCTTCAGACCCAAGCAGACACGGGGGTGCCCGGAAATGAGCCCTTCTTCCCTCAGGGACAGAGGGGCCGGCAGCACAAGGGGACAAATGAGGCAAGCCTGGACCTAGGAGGAAGCTACCATCCTGCAGTGTAAACACCTCCTGTGGAGAGGTCTGTGGGGCTGCTCGTCCTCAGCTCCTCACGGGGCCCATCGCCGCCCCCCGCCGCCCCACTGCCAGGCCCACGCCCCTGCCTACCCTCACTCAGAGTGCGTTGCCTCCCAGCTCTGTACACCCTGGCCGGCCTCAGGAGACCCTCGGGGACGGGCCCTGCCCTGTCTCCCTCCCTCACACCCGCGCTTGGCCTGTCCTCTCTGGACGCAGCAGGAAGGCCAGGGAAAAGGCCTTGTCAGAAGGAATCCTGGCAGCACGAAAACGACAGGCCAGGCGAGAACACCGCACCTCACCCGCTTGGCAGCTGTGCACACCTGCCCGGGAGGGCAGTCTGTCCCGAGGCAGGCTTCCAGGTAGCTCAGCATCAAGCTGAGGGGTGGAGCACCCCTGGAACGCTCTGGACACAGCGTGACCGGCTGGGACAGCCTGGCCCACCCCACTGTAGCCGGAGGGGCCTCCACTGCTGGGAGAGGCCGTGAGCGCACCTTCTCCTTACTGGTCAAGCCAACAGTCTGTGAAGCTGCGTTTTACACACACACGCACACACACACGTGCGCGCACGCAAGCACACACACACACACACCTCTCTCCTCCAGGTCTAGCTGCCCAGAAAACCCAGAGATTAACCTCTATTCATAAAGTCAGTGAGGCCCCTCGATGCAGAGGCTCAGGGCTGAGTGAGGCGGTCAGCCTCCTTCCTTGCAGGGCCGAAGGCCGGAGGGGTTACAGGAGCAACACAGCTGCCCAATCTCACCTAGTGGGCGAGTGTGGGTCACACCAACTCCGTCCGTGGGGGGGGGCGGGGAGTTCTGGCTAGCACCTACCTTCTCCAGGCCAGGAAACACAAGCCTCTGGACGAGTGGCTCCACCTGCCACTGCGGCTGCTCTCCCTGAGTGCTGCTGGCCGGGCCACCCGCCGCCAAGCACAATGGGGGTGGAGGAGGGGCCTCAAGGGCGCCATTGTTCCCCCTCCCCAGCTCTCAATCCCCGATTGTCCTGGGAGCCGGGCACCAAGGAGCGCAGAGGCCCCACACGGTCCCACACGGTTGGGCCTCTCTCCCCTGCCTCCACCTCAAGGTCAGGCCGGTGCGGCTGTCCTGCTCACTGCACTTCTTGAGGCAGTCCAGGACTTGCTGCTGCCCCGTCCTCGGCCTGTCCTTTCCTCCTCACCCACGCCACCCCATCCACTCCAGTCTTGCCTGGGGAGCAAGCGTACTGAGGCACACACACAAGGCAGGGCTGTGCTCACCACAGGGAGGGGAGGGATTGGTGGCAAAAGCCAGACTGCCCTGCTGAGTCAAGGATTCAGCCGGCCCAGGAGGGAGGGTCGACTGCCCTTGGCCCAGACCCATCTCCCTCAGGGACTCTGAATGCCACCGTCTCAGACTCAGGGCTCTAGCTCCCAGGGAGGATGTGAGCTGGCCTGAGCAGCCCCCGTCAGCATGCTGGCGACCTGGGGATGGAGGAGAGACGGTCAGGGACCGGCAGAGGTCCGGACAGAGACCCCTTAGCTGCTCCTCCAGGCTAGCCAGGCAGCAGCCAGAGGCCCAGTATGGAGGGCAGAATCCCTAGCCCTGCTTAAAATGGAAGCACCCCGCCAAAAGGCTCCGACACAATTATTTTATTCAAAGGTCGGTCCTGCTCCAGCAGGAGGAAGAGGGGCAGTCGGAGGGGCAGCCCGGGCGGGTGGGCGGGCGCCTCACGGTTCTCGGTGATGGTGAGGGGGGAGAGTGGGCCCTTAGCCACAGGTGCTGGCCGAAGGCACAGAGCCCCCGTGTGGCCAGCAAAGGGAGCTCACCAACTCCTGAGCCCAGACATCCCTGGCTCCAGGGCAGGCCCCACCAGAGCCTAGGCAGAGTTGGGCCACACCCTGCCGAGTGAAGCAGGTCCTCAGGCAGGGCCGGTCTCCTGAGCTTTCTGGATCTCCTGCCAAGAGGGAAGAAAAGAGGGACGTCTAGGATCTCAGAGGACTGACCCCTCACCCTTCCTCCTGGGAGGGGCTCCCTCAGCCCCAGCGCCCTGCCAGGCAGCAAGGGGCTCAGGCCCCCAGACCGCTTTAGCTTTGCCAGAGTCTACGCAAGGACAGAGTGGCCATGTCTGCCTACAGCAGGCAAGCAGAAAGGGGCTCACCTCCAAAAGCGCCTGCTTCAGAGCCACGTAGGCCGTGTCCAGGTTGTCGTTGATGATCACCAGGTCGAACAGGCCAGGCTCCTTGCCTGGGGACAGGGCAGAGTCAAGAGCACTGTGTCTAGCCCAGCCCATGCCGGTCACTAAGCCCACCGCCTTGGCTGCTCTGCTGCCACTGCCTGGAGAGGGACAGCCCGACCTGTCCAGGACGTGGGGCTGCCTGGAGAGGGACAGCCCGACCTGTCCAGGACGTGGGGCTGCCTAGGCAGGGTTGGCAGGGAAAACTCTCAGGGCGTCTCCCCAGCCAGGGCTTGCTCTCCTGATGTTCCTGAACCCTAGGCTGTGGGCACCAGTGCTAATCCCGGCTTCTCATTAAGACTGGCATAAGGCCTGGCCAAGTGGCTCAAGTGGAAGAGCAAGTGTGAGGCCAGCTTAAAACCATAGCACCACTAAAAAAACCCTCCACTGGGCGGGGCGCCGGTGGCTCACGCCTGTCACCCTAGCCACTCAGGAGACTGAGATCTGAGGATCACAGCTCAAAGCCAGCCCGGGCAGGAAAGTCCATAAGACTCTTTTTTTTTTTTTTTGGGTCCGGTTGTGGGGCCTGAACTCTGGGCCTGGGCGCTGTCCCTCAGCTCTTCAGCTCAAGGCTAGCGCTCTACCACTTGAGCCACAGCACAAGTGCTCTACCACTGAGCCACCTTCCCAGCCCCACAAGACTCTTATCATCAATCAACTACTCAGAAATAGCCAGAAGTGGTGTTGTGGCGGCTCAAATAGTAGAGCACTAGCCCTGAGCCAAAGAAGCTCAGGGACAGTGCTCAGGCTGAGTTCAAGCCCCAGGACAGGAGAAAACACAAAACAAAACAGAAAACCTCACTCTTCCAGCTGCTGGTGGTGCACATCTATAATCCTAGCTACTCAGGAGTCTGAGATCTGAGGGTTGCCATTTGAGGCCAGCCCAGGTAGGAAACTCTTATTTCTAATGACCACAAAGCACCTGCAGCTGGGCTTGGTAGCTTACAGGTACTTGGAAGGTAGAGACGCGGAGGTCCGGGGAAGAGAGGGAACCAGAACTTATCACAACCAGTGGCTGTGCATGGAGGTACGCGCCTGTCATCCCACTGACAAGGGGACACACAAACAGGAGGATTACAGTCCAGGCTCAGTTCAGGATTAAAGCAAGACATTATTCTCAAAACAATCAATGCAAGAAGGGCTGGTGGAGTGGCTCAAATGGCAGTGTGCCTGCCCTGAATTCAAATGCCAGAACTGCCCCCAAACAAACAAACAGAAACAGACTGTGTGCCCTGTGCCCTGGGAAGACTGCAGAAGGAGCTCCCTCGAGTCCGAGGGCCCCTGCGGACGGAGGTGGAGAACTCCTCCGCACTGGCTCTGGCCCCCCTCTCCCTGGCCACACTCACTGCTTTCCATGTCAGCCCGAGCAGCCGCCAGCCGCTTCAGCAAACTCTCCTCGGTCTCGGTGTTGCGCTGGCGCAGCCGTTGCTCCTGCGGGAGGGAGGTGCCCCCTGAGCCGGCTGTGCCCCGGGCGTGCCCCCGCGCCCCTTCCCCGGCACTCACCAGCACGTCCAGCGAGGGAGGCTGCACCGAGATGTAGATAGGACACAAGTCCGTCTTCTTGATGTTGTGCACACCCTGAAGGTCCACGTCCAGCACACAGATGCGGTTCACGGCCTGCACAGCCTGCACAGCAGCCTTGCTGGAGGCGCAGAGACAAGGCCACGGCCAGCTGAGGGCATGGAGGGAGGCCTGGCCCAGGCCGCAACTCAGCCGCCAACAGGTCTGGGGAGACCTGCCCCTCCCTCCCCCGAGGTCCATCCTGGGCCTGGCCCTGACACCCCAGGCTTCCCGGGTACCACAGGCCCTCTGCTGGCCCCGCAGCCCCGGCCAGGCCCCTGGGATGGCTGAGGTGCTCGTCCTTCCCTGTCCCTCCTGGGGAAGGGTCACGTGTGGCCCTGGAGGGACGGCTGAAGCACAGCCAAGCCTGAGGCGTGACTGGGCCTGTCTACTTCCTGGAGCCTCCTCAACGAACCCAGAGATCCAGGAGCAACTACCCCTCGTTGGAGGGAGCCAGCTGGAGACATCTACCATCATGACTCAGACGCAAGGCTCCCGGGCCCCCTGGGTCATGGCCCACCTTGTCCCGTATAGGTTCCCTGAGAACTCGGCATGCTCAATGAAGTTCCCAGCCGCGATGTCACGCTGCATCACCTCCCTGGTCACAAAGTAGTAATCTGGAGAGGAGGAGGGCTGTCCGGAGGGCGCCCAGGCCCAGCCCTGCCTGGTGCGGCCTTTCTCCTGGGCTTGTAAAGATCCTTCTCTACCCCACACCGCAGGCTGTCCCTGCCAGACGCATGCTGCCGGGACAGGCAGCACTGCCCTGACTTCCCTGGGGGACTGGAGACGGCTGGGCTCCATGGAGGAGGTTCCAAACAAGGGGCTGTAGTCCTCCGGATCGCATGCAGGAGGCCAGGCTCCGGGCAGGGGCAGCCCTGTCCACTCAGAGAAAACACCTAAGATGTGCTGAGGGGCGTACCCCACGCACGCTATCACACACGGGGGTGTGGCTGTGGGCAGACAGCAGGGCCCTCAGCACTCACTATGATGCACACCGCCTGATGAGGCAGGTTCAGTCTTCAGCTAGGGAGACTAGGCAGCGTGCATGGTGATCGAGAGACACAGAGCAAGGGCCACTCCCACCCTCCACCCCATGCTGCCTGTGGCCCGCAGCTCACCTCTGCCATTCTCCTCACCAGGCCGAGGGTCCCTCGTGGTATCTAGGAAAAAGATATGTCACCGCCGCCGAAGGGCTGCAGAGCCCTGTGGTTCCACTCAGCCCATCACCAGTGTGGAGGGAAGGCATGCAGACCCAAGCCACGGAGGCCAGGACACTCGGTCCACACTCAGGCCCCGGGGGGAGGACACAGGGCTGCAGAGGGTGAAGAGCGTCTCCCAGGCTGGCAAGGTACATGTGGGGCTGCGGGGCCTCAGTCTGAGGCCGTCCCCCCGTCCCCCAACCCCAGTGAGACTCACGGGACACGCTGAAGCCGAAGATGTTGCCATACTCCTGGAACAGCTTCTTCAGCAGGGTGCTCTTCCCAGCCCCCGACGGCCCACTCAGCACCACAGGCCTGGGGCCCGACATGACTGCGGAAGTGAACGGCAGGGACAGGTGTGAGCGGCTCTGTACCGCGCTCCCTGGGGGAGGTGGTGAGGGTCTCCCAAGGCCACACCACCAGACAGACGTCACTCAAAACCCCACTTAATCCAGCAGTGACGGCAGATAAAGGCAGGGGAAATGGCAGGGCTGTCCACAGGCCTTTTCCCAAGTGACGCAGCACCACCTCCCACACAGCTCAGGCCCGGCCTGAGATCGCCACCCCACACGACCCCCTGGATTGGCAGCAGAGAGGACAAGATGGGGCTTCACCAAGCCAAGGCTCCCCAGAAACCTCGCACTAGACTCAGGACCCCCACCACGAGCCGTGGCGGGTGTGGGGACCCTCTCAACCTCTACAAACAAAGGTGAGCAGAGCTGCCACAGGCAGGGCCACCAAGCAGCCAGAGAAGAGCAGGCCTAGCAGTACAGCCGAGTGCCAACTCCGGGGTCAGAGCTTCATTCCCTACGCGTGGCTGGATGGCACCTTCCCAAACCAAGAACCCTCTCCACAGCTAACACTGGACCTCAGCAGCCCAAGCCCTGAAGGCACCTCACGTGGCACTTCCCACCTGCTGACTCACACCCAGACCAAGCCCTCATCCACCTCCCTCCAGCCTGGTTCCCCGGAGGCTGCCTCCTCGGTGGGGACTCTCCAGCAAGGCGGCCAGCCCTCCTTCCCCCCTGCACGCACCCACCTCCTTGGCGGTGTGCAGCGTCTGTGCTCAGCCGCTGCGATGCACTGAGGGTTGGGGGAGGATGTAATCCCTGCCAAGCCTGCACCCGCCCTTCTGAAAATTAAATCCCTGAGGCACCAGCCTTGGGTCACAGAGAGGTCAGCTCCACCACCCACTGTGCAGGAAGGAAAAGGCAGTTCTTTGTCCTGTCCTTGAAGTATGCAGCTGCCCACTCAGCCCAGGTGAGCTGAAGGTCCAGGCTGCGTGCGTGCGTGCGTGTGTGTATGTGTTGGGAAAAAAGAACCAAGATACGGACTGCAGAGTCACACTGCTGCTCTGCTCTGGGTCCAGAGAGGTATTTGGGGGCTAGAGGAGCTGCCTGCTAACCCAAACACCTTATATCCATAGGGTTGGACACAAGAGGTTTCCTGTGGGTAGAGGTTTCAGGAAGCACAGCCACTAAAGATCTTACATTCTTAATCCCCAATGTAGGCCACAAGGTAATCTCACAAGAGCAGACTACTGAGGTTCTCCTGCTGTATGAGCACTACTGTGTATGGACTGCATGTAGGGAGGAGCAGAAAGCGTGCACACACAAAAAACACGTATGCGCAGCAATGTCACCTGCCACACACCCCCCTCCTGATGGGGCTACTCTTCTGACCACCGCACCCAGCGCTCAGATCAAAAGCTCCCCAGACCAGGACTGCCAAAGGCTGGTGGTCCATAGTGGTAGCATGAACTCTACATCTGACTACCTTAGCCAGCTGCTACCTAAGAGCCATGTCCGGCTTCCCTTCAGCTCCCAATGGGCAGTACTTGCCCTGAGCTCTCCAGATTCAGTGTACACGACTCCAGTACGCAGCCACTGCACACATTTCTAAGTCATCAGCACAAAGAAACGGAGACTCAAAGAGATGAGTACGAATGCAGGAGGATCCTCAGAGCTGAACTGAAGGCAGAGGATCCTCAGAGCTGAACTGAAGGCAGGGGATCCTCAGAGCTGAACTGGAGGTAGGGGAGGGGAGGGTTTAAAGTGCTATAGGTAGGTAGAGCTACTGAAGGATCTAAACTAGGCTGTCTGCAAGGTCAGTGCAGATGGCTCAATGTCCCTAGACACGGGGGCGGGAGGCTGGCAGCAGGCAGCCCGTGTCTCTCTCGGAGCTTATCCCCTGAATCCTGTTGATGGAGAGTCCAGGCAGCCCCAGTTCTATACCCTACCCACTACCAGGTGTAATGAGCTAGTGCCCTCAACCAGATCCCCATTCCTAGGGTTAGGAAGCCCATGCTAGCTCCCGGGCCAGGCTCTGTGGGCTGTGAAAAGCTTAGAGAAAGGAGAACACCAGCGCAGGTTACCCCACCCCACCTATGTCTCTGCTGAACAGCCCTGTCTTGTCTCTGAAGCTCAGACTTGCAGGTCTGTGTCCATGTAAGCCCACCTCCTCTGGAGGGGTGAACTCCAGACAGGCAGATGCAGGGGCCACGGGAGGACACCTGCTCCGCCCTGCTGCTCCATGGGGTTCTGAAGGGCATCACTTGGCCACATGCTAACCAGGGGCCACTGAAAGTTGCTTCTCTGGAAGCTACACAGACCGTGCCACCACGGAGGTGCGCTGAGCATCCTGAGGGAAGACCCCACAAGCCCACTTAGGGAGGGGCTCCAGACAGCAGCCATCTGACAGGGCAATTACTGTGCCACCTCCGGACTTCAGAAATCACACATGAATCCGGACTTTGCCCTAGCAGTTGCCCAACATAACTGAGTGGAAAGAGCAGAGTGGAGGAAATTTCCTTTGGGAAAACAGGAGAAGGCACTCTGGACCTCCATTCTCATTGGCTTTTCCATTCTCAAATGCTAACTGCCTGCCCCAAACCAATTGTGCCAATTGTGCCAGTGCATGATTTCCACTGGAGCACCAGGAGGGAAACCTTCCCTGATCTCAGCTTCCCCCTTCAGGCCCAAAGACCGGAAGCCAGTCACCACCCTCCCAGGTTTCAGGACACCAGCAGAAGGACGAAACTGGAAAGGAGATTTCAACTCCCCCATTCCCCTTCTCAGACAAGCCGCTCAGGGCATGTGGGTGGACAGACTGCTTCAGGAGTCTACTCCACCGGAGAGTAAATGAGAGCCACCAACTCTTCATTCTCTTCCTTACCTGAGCAGGACTGACATACTGTTGCTTCTCAAGGATGGAAGCCAGGATGGAAGGACATCAGCCAACCGTCTGCCAGTTTCCACATCCTGCTGGTGCTACCTGGCTTAATTTATCCTCTTCCATCAAGAGGAAGGAATAAGTTCTAAGTGAGCCCTAAAACCAACCTATGGTCAAAGGCAAAGCCAACATGAGAATAAAAGGGTTTAGGACCTATGGATCGCAGAGATGGAAGGACCCAAAACATCACAATATTGGCCAGCTACTCTCATAGAGAGGAAACTGAGGCCCAGTACACTCAGAGTTACGAAGGGATAAGAAAAGTGGAGAATGAGGCACTGAGGCAGACAGGGTCAAGGAGGAATGGGGTAGAAGCCTAGGCCAAACGCATGCAGAGTCAAAGCTGACCATAAAGTCTCTTCTTCCTACACCTGCTTCCCCACTGCCTGAGATCACTCTCCCCCATTTCCTCCTCCCACCACTTCCTCAAATCACCTCAGCATGTTTCCTGGCTATTCTGCACGTGCCAAACAGAGAGGTAAAAGTGTGGGTGTGCCTGAAGCAAAATATACTGCCTCTTCCAAATTTATGACTTCAGGAAATGATCTTTCTTTTTCCAAAAGCCCAGTGCTGGGGCCAAGGTGTCCCTGAGCCTCCATGAAGGCCAGGTCAACTGACTACTGCCTTGTGTGACAGGTGGTGTAAAGTGGGAAGATAAGGAGCTATGGTGGCAGGAAATTCTGCCTATCAGTAGCGGAAACAAGAAAACACAGTCGTGGTAGTTTGTCTAACTCACTTTTCTACAGATTCTATCTAAATCAACTTTTCTGAGGAAAAAATTCCTGTGTGCCTCAGTAAGGCATGGTCTGGAAATCTAAGTGCCAGAAAACTCCAGAAAAGCCCATTCTCTGGCAGGGCTACCTAGAAAACCTCAGAAGACCTCAGCAAATAAACGTGGACACCTATAAAACAAATTGCCATACCGGGTAAAGTGGCTCAAGTCGATAATCCTAACTATTCAAGAGGCTGAGATCTGAGAATTGAGGTTCCAAACCAGCCTGAATAGACAAATCCAAGACTGACCTCCAGTTAACCAGCAAAATGCTGGAAGTCACCAGACATCAGTGGCTCACGCTTATAATCTTAGCAACTCAGGAGGCTGGGATCTGAGAACCAATGTTCAAAGCCGGTCTAGATAGGAAAGTCTGTGAGACTCTCATCTCCAGCTAACCACCAAAAAGCCAGACACGGAGCTGTGGCTCATGTGGTAGAGTACTAGGCTTGAGCAAAAAAATCTGAGTTCAACTCCAGGGTCAGAGCACTCGCATGCACACAAAAAAAGGCTGAGCACACATGTGAGACAGTTATCAAGCTGCATGAATGGCAGTGCATGTGCACACATGCACACAGCCAGTAAGCCTTGGGCCCTTCCCAGAGTGACCACTACCTTGAGGCTAACTCTCCTCTCAAGACATTGCCTTTGTAACATATATTTAGATGAAATAAAACAAAAATGAAACAACACACACAAACACACAAACTCGATGACTCCTGACTCCTTAGGGCCATAAATTAATTAAAATCAAGACAAAGGCCTGGCCTCCCTGCCTTCACTTTGCATTTGTCCCCTTTCCCCTTTCCTGGAGATAATGTTCTTTGACCAGGATTGTTTAATTAAGTGTACTCTCTCCTTGCCATTCTTCCTCTGTTTAAACCTAAAGGTTCACGCCTGTGCCCTGAAGATGGAATGGAAAGCTCACTTTGACTTCCTGCTCTCCTCTTCTACTGGATCTGACAAGTTGGAAACACTGGAAATGACCCCCTGGCCTAGAATACACTTGGTGACCCAGAGCCAGGGATACACACTTGGGTTGGTAAGCCACTCGCAGCTTGCTCAACTGGACTAGAAAGGCAGAAGAGGACTCCAAGCAGCTGTCCAAAAGGAGAGTTCCATACAGCTGCCAGGGTCACACGGAGGCGTCCTTCCCTTTTTTCCAGTTCACAATGGCAGCAGCAGTCTTGTTTGGTTGGTTTTTGACCAATTTTAGTGTACTAACCAAATTTAGTGTATTAAGGTGAGTGGCCCGACAGACAGACAGGCTGGGCCGCTGTAGCTGGGCCAGCTCGCGGCGCCCCGTGCCTAACCGGCCGTGTCCGAC